ATATTCCGATATTGCAATTAATTAAAAAGATATTAATTAAAATCGTTAAACTAATTTTTGGCGCCAACTTGGATATATCTGCATTGTTGTAATAATTTTATTGTTACAACAATGACAAAAGTTGGCGTCGAAAATCGGTTTTCAGCCAAACTGAACTTTCATAACGTTGCGTTATTGACTGTATTAATTAACTTTGTCTAAAAAATAATTACATTTCTACAATGTAAAAATAATCTAATTTCTACAACATATGCAATTTTTTTTACAAATTTCTATCTATTTTCTTGGATTTAAATTGAAAACAAAAAAAGTAGAGCTATTTTTCAAGTAGATTCGTACATTGTATACCTTTCTCAACGCTGCCAAGTTAAACTGAGATGGAGTATTATAGAAATTCTAAATTTAACCCCTTAACTGGTTTGCCCGTACACCTTACGGGCTACTGAAAGTTAGCCACAACCGGTTTGCCCGTGCGCTGTACAGGCACCGAAATTTTTTCTTTCTATATTTTATTTGCACAGACATTTTTATTCCTATAATAAGGTTATTAGTATAGTGTGTCTTTAGGAGATGCAGAGAGAGAGAGTTTGTCCATGGTACTGAACTACTCTTCATTCAGAATTTTGGTAGTGGTGAAGGTGAGAATTTTTCACTGAAGGCAAGAATATATATTCTTGAAAATATTGGATAAATAATAGGGATTTACAAGGCAATGTACAATGTGTTGCCTAAGAAAAAGGAAAATGGATAGATAATCCAAAGAAGTCGATATTATCTCTATCCCCATTCGAATATATAAGACTTAGTGTTACACTATTCTTCATATTGTGTGTGCATATAAATATGCACACACACATGAAATACTATCAATCGTATGAAAAAGAGGTATGAACATGAAATTTTTTGGTAAGTGGAAGAAAATATATTTTAAGATGTATGTGAAATATTCTTCATAGTACGCAGAATGTACATATTAAAAGCAAACATTTAAGGGTTTTTGTGTTCAAAAATTATAAAATATAAAAAAAGGTGAGTAAAATTTTAAACCGGAGATTAAAATAAAAATCTTCCATTTTCGCGTGTTCTGTTAATTATTATGCTTAGTTACATGCAGTTAAAAAATGGGCTTTTTTTGGGAAAATTTTGGTCAAAAAAATTGACCGCTTAAGAGGTTAATCTATGAAGCTCAGACAAAAAATAATTATAGAATCGGAAAGATCATTTATTTCGTCCCGATACGGTATAATGTTTTTTACAAAATAATAATATTTGTATTTCTTACGATTTTTTTTAAAATAAGTCAAAATCGATGCGTTTTTATGAAAATAATGTCTAAATCGACGCGCATGATTTTTTTTTGTTTAAATGAATCGATATTCCGTACTAAAACAGCTTATGATTTGCTCTTTTAGAATCAATCATTTAAAAAATAAAATGTCAAAAATGATTTTTTACGATTTTTCAAAAAATACTCAACATTTTAATATTTAATAACTTCGTCATTTATGAAGAAAATCTCATAAAACTTTTTTTCGTGTGTAGGATAATATTACCCAAGATCTGTACGAAGATTTAAAGAATTGCTTAAAATTTACGGATTTAAGAAAAAATTGTGTTTTTCGTCTAGTACCCTTTTTGCGAGAATTCATTTAGCTCGACTGTTCGAAAATAACCGGCTAACACCTAGCAACAATGATGCGTTGAATGAGATGAACAGACTAAGAAACCTGTCGAGTGATAACTAAAAAGTGAAAAATAAATTGAAAGTAAAAAAGCTTTTTTAAAACAAGCTTTTATTTAAACGCGCTAAAAAGAATAAAATAAATTTTTCTTTAAAATTTTTTTACAATCAACTTATAACGTCATTACACAATTTATATGATATAAAAGCTTGTCGCGAGATTTACCTCTGCAAGTAAATTAAATAACTTGATCTGATTGATTTCAATTTCTTAAAATTTTTAAACTAAGTAAATAAGAGTGCTTTAATCTTGCGACAAGCTTTTATATCATATAAATTGTGTAATGACGTTATAAGTTAATAGTAAAAAAATTTTAAAGAAAAATTTATTTTATTCTTTTTAGCGCGTTTAAATAAAAGCTTGTTTTAAAAAAGCTTTTTTACTTTCAATTTATTTAGTTGATGACATAGTAAGAAGAAAAATTGACTTAAATTATTGATGCCTTAAATAATCATTTTTAAAATATTTTTTTTTCAAATAAAATAGCCTAACGAAATCGTAAGTAGAAAGTATTATATATACAAGGGGTGATCAAATGAAAAGGTACGAAACGACACGGTGGGTACAAATATAGACTTTATTCAAAATATACACTATAGGCCTGAGCACAACGATCCCACTGATGAACAAGCCGCAGGATTCCTTGTTCCCAGAATTCCTGTGGCTGTGACGAGACCCAGCCCTTCACAGTGTCCTTGAGTACGTCGTCCGAGTTGAAGCGCTTTCCTTTCAGGTGTTTCTTCAGTGGACCAAACACATGGAAATCGCAGGGTGACATGTCCGGACTGTAGGACGGATGGTCCAACGTCTCCCATTGGAACTTGTCCAGTTCTATTTGTGTGACTCTGGAGACGTGTGGACGTGCGTTATCATGGAGCAGAACCACACCCTCCGTGAGCAGCCCCGGTCTTTTGTTCTTGATGGACCTGCGTAGGCGTCGGAGTGTCTCACAGTACACATCGGAGTTAATGCTTTTTCTGTGCTCGCATCATTTGGACGCCGCTTTTTATAAGAGCCTTTGCTCTCTCCTGCACATGCGGGCACCCGCGCATGATCCGATCCCAGTCAGAGTCTCCAATGGCATCCCGAGATGTCTCGCTACATTCTCCCTTGGCGGAATATGCAAATATTTAACTGTTTCGTTTTTATGTCGTTTCGTACCTTTTCATTTGATCACCCCTTGTATTAAATCATTAATTATCTGGTTTAAGAAATGTATTTTATATACTTTCCTACTTCGGAAACGAGACCTACTTCGACCGAAAGCGAATATAAACAGCTCTACAATAAACATCATGGTAAGAAAAAAAAAGAAAAAGAAACGCTCCTGTCCCCGAAAATAAAAGCACCGTTCAGCAGCAAAAGAATGAAAACAACTCTTCAATAAAAGTTCTCTGATGGCGAGAAAGAAAAAAAAAGTGAAGTGCGTGTCAACATTTGCAACGGTAAAATGTGCGATAATCCCGATGTGAGATTGACCAACATCGAATACATTATTGAAAATCACAATCGAATCCAAGAATGAAAGAGCAACATTGAAAAAAATTACAAAATCAAATCAACGGTGAAAAAGATATGTGGTTTACCGTGAACCAAAAATCTCTACCTGTAAGAAATGAGGTCAGTGAAATTATTAGTTTACATTTATGTAGTGCAGAAGTGACTGAATTTTATTTAACAAGACTCTTCGAAGAGGAACAGTAATATAAATGATATTAAAATTTTTATAGAATATATTTTATGGTAAGGGATATATTGTTTATATTTAGAAGAGAAAGTAGAATGTGCTTTATTATATAAAATTTTGAGAAATTTTAATGTATTTCATTATTTTATTTTAAATTGTTAAAGGAATTATATCATTTATATGATAGTATTGGTGTTATAAAGTTGAAAGGATATAAAGTTAGTTATTAGAGAAATGACTCTAATGTACTAATATTAATTATACTGATTGTGAGAAAAGACAAAATTAAAGAGTTACATTGCATTCTTTTTATCCCCTGAATTTTATTATTTTGTAAATTATTTTATTCATCAGTAACTTTACTAAATTTAAATTTTTCTCATCTTGAAATTGTGTGTTTTGATATACTGGCCACATATCAGGATTCACTGTTTCTCGAAAATTTCCTTGTCTAAAATTAAAGTGATTCAACTACTTAAAGTTCATTTTGGAAATGATACAGTGGATCGAAGAGAATTCAATCGTTATGATTTTGTATATGTCTTGAAATATTAAGAGGACAAACTTATTTAGTTTGATTTGTATACCTCTTATTGTTTTCATATTAGCATCCCTGAACATCTGTGATTTGATCACGCAGATTTGTCAGAGAGATGTGTTGGTATTAGTATGATGTAAATTATATTACTGAAAGCGAAAAATTTGTCAATGAAATGAATAAGCTTAAAAAGTTACAGAGAGACTCAAAATATTTTATGTGATGATTTGAAGTAAAAGTGAATATGGTGAAAAATTTACTACACTAATTTGTATGTGTTGTTGAAAAATAATTACTATATTAATGATAGATTTCTGTCTAGAGATGATTCCACTTTTCGAATCAAGATAAATAAAAGAGCTCTTATACATGCTTATATACTTATCTTATATTCTTATAATGCATGCAAAAGAATATAGTCTGGTGTGTTGAATAGTGTATAAGTGTTATATAAAATGTTCTCATATTATAAATCATATCATTTTATTCATGTCTATGCTTTGATATTTTAACAGTGTATTTCAGCTATGTATAATTTTATGTAACAAAATTAAGTAGTATTAGTATTAGCCTGAGTAAATTTTAATAGAAAATTATTATCTTAATATTTGTATATCATGTATTTTTATAAATTATATTATTATTTAATATGATAAATTTCCACACATATAGTACAAATAGATAGACTATGTGCTAGCAATAACACAAATCTAATAATATGAAAGATTTGGAGGAAACGTTAAGCTCTTTTTCTGGATGCAATATAGATTTGAAAATGCTAATGTACTTTTATGTGTAAGGAATTTCATTTTCATCAATTAATATTTTAGGAGTGTTATTATTTTGTTTATTGCTATAATTTTGTTTATTGTATTGTATTTTGATTTTATTATTCGTGTTACTTAATTCTATTTACTATGTGTAAAATGTATTTCTACATTATGTTATGTACTGTTTTGTATATATTGAAAATTTGTTATGTTTGCAAGAGAGAAAGACCACCATTACTCCAATTTTAAAATTGGGAAGGCTATTCTCCAGGTAGGGTTCAAACCCACGACCTTCGGAATAGAAGTCCAACACGCTATTCATGGCACTACAGGGACACAACACACAAGCGACTTTCCTTTCTATATATGCTGTTGGACTATCTTCGGTATGATCCTCCGTATAAAATTGTATGTAAAGACAACGATTCGAATCGTTAGACATTGAGTGGTTGTTTTATTAAGGATATATGGCATGAAAAAGGTTATTGGTCAGAAGGTATGTCGCGTCCTGTCGACCGCGGGTGTTGGAGGTTTCGAGCATTATCCATTTTTAAATTAACACAATTTTATTTACTGTATCACTTAATACCCTTAAACAACTTAATTGAGAATGCACTTAAATCACTAAACCCGAGGAGCGATTAACGTTAATACAATTAATTATAATAAAAATTAGAACACTTATCTAATCTCCTGAGCACTCTTGCTTCAATACTTGAATAATATTTCACTTGAATTAAATATATGATTTCCGGTCGCTAACGCTATGTTTTCTTCTGTCTCAACTTTCAACCATCATCATGCCTACTCTACGACTAACACTTAAATAGAAGTTCTAATTTCCATAAAACCAAGTCTTCTCGGAAAGCTTCTTCACTGTTAGAAAGATTATTTTATCCAAGAGGATTTGTAGAAAGCCCGAATAGAATCCGTTGCAGGTAGTAAATCCACCTCTGGTAGCTATACGAGTCGAAACACAGTGTGGTATCGAACAAATGTGATCACCTATGACCTGCGAAAGATCATGCCATAATCTTTGCAAATGGGTAGTTAATTTGCCAATATTCCGGGACAGCTGCAGTTTTCTTACAAGCATGTCCCAGACGTGATCTATTGGCGAGAAGTCTGGTGATCTGGCAGCTCTGGGAGTACGTCATATCCTTAAAGACATTGTTGGAAGAGTCGTACAGTATGTGGACAAGCGTTGACTTGCTGATAAATGGCACTTGGGCGACTTAATAGCATAGGCAGTACAACTGGCGTTAAAATCTTGTCCTCGTAACTGTGTGTCATCAAAATGGAAAGAAGCACGACTAGAGGTGATCGTATGTGCCAAAAAATTGTTCCTCACACTGTCACCACCTTCTGTAATCGCCGTATGCCTCTCAACAACAAATGCCGGATTAAATTGATGGCCTGGTCGTCTCAACATGTGAATGAGCTGATCATCAGCATTGATACTGAATCGGGATTCATCACTGAAGATTCCACGGAGTTGGTCAGACACCAGCAATCAACACTGCCTACGATATGGGGTCAGTGGTAGGCGTTTTAGTGTTCGTCGGCCAGTCGTCTCCGAATAGTTTCCCTTGATACCACTGGATGTCTGGAAGATGGTAAATGTCGTCGAACGATTCTATCAACGTTGTTGGTAAGGACGTGGCTAATCTTATGATTGCGCGATCATCGCGCGCATTTGTGTTCTTGGCCTGATCCTCCGGGATGGTCAACGATCCCTTCCGTGATCTATTGTTGTAACCACCGAGTAACTACCATATCACTTCGACCGTGATGGCTACCGGTACACCTGTTCGAAAAACCTGCTTTTCTCTAAGGCTACAATACACCCTCTCAAAAGTTCGACAATTGATCATACTGTTGTCGGTTACATCTCTGAGGCAACTCTAGTCACAATTCCGTCCAACCAAGTCGACAGATTTGTTTGAATGACTCTATTGCACGAGCAACCATGCTTGTAAACTCTCCCAGTTGAGGCATAGCATGCCTACCCTTGTTTCATTGGCGTTGAAATTTTACATTTGCATATCTCTTACCAGACTACATTTCTGCCAAGTTTCATGATAGTAGCTCGATTTCTTTTGTGCGCATGTATTTTTTTGTGACAAAATGTATATCCCATCAAATTTGATATATATAAATGGATGCTTATATATATGACCTCGCTTCACTCCAACACCGTTCAACCGATCACTATGAAAATTGTCATGTATGTGTATTTTTTGTGGAGAAGGTTTTTGTGCTATCCCCCTTGTTGCAGCTCTCCACCAGGTGGCGCTACAGCATATAAACTTCTGCACCATTCAATCAATCACTAAGTTGCCAATCTGGTCGCCAAAAATGATGCCAACTTGGCTCTACCATCAACATTTCGCTATGTTTCTATTGAATCGCCATTATAATGTAAAGAACGGCGTGTGCTTGTGAATATTACAATTTTAATGTAACACAAATACACAATAGAAAGCAGTGGCGCCCACAAGGGGGTGCCCGGACACCCCCCCCCCAAAGCCCTTGAGTTTTTTTCGATTGATGATAATCCTATATATATAACGTAAGGTTTAATTAAGTACTTGTAGTTAACAATTTATTTTATTAATTAATGCTAATTATTAATTCAATAATTTATTTTTCACTGTTTTTGTTAACAAAATCAAAAGAATCAATTGGTGTTGTCTTCAGGTATGATACGAGTTGGGGGACTTTCGACCATGGACTCCCCCCTTGAAAAATTTTTGTGTGCGCTACCGATAGAAAGTAATTTTAACGCATTGCAAATCCAGATATAAATTATTTACACTACTTTATGCGTTCATTACACACAATTTGTGACAATGTGTTACTTTTGCAGAGCAGAGATTATCTTAGGAAGTTGTTTTCAAAAATCGACCCACAAGAGTGTTACGAGGCATTATAATAAAAAAAAAAATCTTTATCAGCTATTAGACCTTCAGACTTAAAATTTAATAAATGCTTTTTTGTTTGTTTGTTCAGATTAGATATGAAAAAAAGCTTTTTTTTTGTTTAATTTGCAATTCACGTAAATTTAACTCATTAAAAACTTCTTTATCCTTCACACAATCTGTATTCCTTAATTTTTCAATTCACCCGTGAGAAGAACGGGTATACCAGCTAATACGTATATAGAAATAAAAAAAATCCCATTTATAAAAGACGAATCAAGAGGAAATGATAAAAATATTATTTCTTATAAAAAATGTCATTGAAATATAAAAAATCATTTGTAAAAATTGGCAATATATATATAGTTTGAGTAACTGAAGTAACGCAAGTATTATAAGAACGAAAAAATATGCATTAATCTTTCTTTTAAAAAGCCAAAACAAATTTATAAATTTTTTTACTGCATAAAAATATCACTGGATAAAATTTTCGGTTAAAAATAGTTATTTTTTTTGTAGTTTGTTTTTGTTTGTTATTGAATCAAATATTAATTTTACTTTTCAACATTATACGTAATTAAAGTAAATAGTCATGACTGGGTAATAACAAATAAAGAAGAGAGTTAAACTTGAAAAACTCAGTTAATTCAATATAATGCTCACAAAATAAGTTTTAGAATAATTTTCTCTATTTTGTTTAAATAACTAGATTTCCTAAATTTTAAAGAGAAAAAAAATTAAAAATCTTATTTTTTTCGGAAAAAAAAAAACTAATTTCGAACGTATCATAAATTTCTAATCTCTTTTTCTTTTTAACAAAAATATACTTCTAAGAATGCCCTGAAATTTTTAATATAAAATAAGAATGCAACTTACGTTAAAAAAATTTTTTTTTTCATGCAATGGCTGTAAAAAGTATAATTGTTTTTCTGACCTTTTATGTAGCGGAAGAATAAAAGTCGCGCAACACTCATATTTAACATTAATTTACGACGTTCTTTTATCATAGCCAGAAGTATGAAGCTTTGATGGAAGAAGTATATATTAAAATGTTTTTCGCACTATCAAGAAATCTTCAGAACTCATAAGTGAAGAGTTCTCAACATCGCTTGGATATGTTGCAAAGCACCTTTGGACAAATATAAAAGGGCTATTGTGGTTTTTGATAGAAGTTAAATGGAAATTTAATAGGCACAAATACTTTTCTTTTGTAAACGTGGTAACGAATCGTTATGGTCACCAGCAGGGACACCTTACGGCATCGGCCAACAGGACCTTGGCCACAATGGGGGTCCGGTCTCGTTCTCGATTCAACCTTACCAAGATCATTATTCGAATAATTTCAATCGTCAAATGTTTTTTTCTGGTTGTATTCTCCAATAACTGGGAATTTCGGACGATATGTCAGCTGGCTACTTGTAATGACCGTCGTCCCTGTATAGGCCTAGTCATACACCAGGATTACGCATTCAGTCAAAAGGTGGCAGTCGGTACAGCCGTTTTGTGCAATTGTAAGTGATGCACATTTATTTGTATCGGGTTATTGTTCATACGAGTTTTAGACAACGGATGCTACATAATGTCTACTTTTAAGGGCCATAGATGGGGCCTACAAATGTGTAGGGGACCAGGGCCTCAAGAAGTCTTAAAACGTCCCTGGTCACAAGCACAGTTTCGATCGAGTCCTAATATCCCTAAAGATCAGCCGTGTAGAGAAGATGATTCAAATTAAATCTATGTGCTGGGGCTGAAAATCATCTCACTGGTTTAATGTGGAAGTAAGGAGAGCGAAATTTCAACTGAAGTATGTCCTCGTCACTAGACCGTGAATAAAAATTCTGAAACTGAGTCTCCTATGGACAAGTTCTACCGTAAAGCTTACTATGGGGGCGCTGCGGTCATTAAATACCCTCAACTTCTTCCGGTTTCAACAAAATAACATTGTTTTGTATACAAACTAAAGCAGAAGTAATTTTAATTTTCCTTGCATTTCTTAAGCAGAATTTTTAGCCTTTTAAAATTACCGACATGAAAGAGAGTAAACTATGCACTCTTTGTTCCACATGTGGATCTTTTTCTGAGAACCTCTACGAATTTTTAAATCACCGTTTAATTTACCGCTGTCCTACGAGTCTATCCACATGGCTACAATAGGAGACTACTTTGCAACCGAAAAATTGGTAAGCGAGAGTTAAATCTGTGTTATTTAATAAGCATTTCATTACAAGTTTGTGTTTAAATGATATTATTCAAATTTTGTTGTGCTTTTTCGAAATAATCCCGTGTATTTGTTATAAACATTGCCCGAATCTTATTTATGGTAACCTTGGCAGCAATTTTGGCGACAGTTTTCACAACACACAATCAGAAATAATTTTCGACTGCTTTTATTTATATTAATTACACAATCACTT